TACTATATCACTACTACATATGCATGGAGGAAAAAAGGGACTGCGACCACTTTGCTTGCTTTATCCGAACCATTTCAATCATTTAACCTACTGCTGGAAAAACTAACCAGATCAGCACAGAAAATGCTATTTTCAATTTTATTTTTTAAAATTATTTATGGCAGGTCTTCCCGTAAGACTTAGCATTGCTAATATAAACAATTGTCTAACTTTCCTAATCATTTTCAAGAATATGGTCTATACGTTCCATCTTCAAGTGACAGAGTATAGAAATTAAGAGCTTACTTCAAAGTAAACTGATGATGCTGACTTAAGAACATCTTCATGCAATGAGATCCTGACCATTCTGTCCTCTGTATTGCAGGAAGATGAAGCTCCTAACATCCTATGGTAGTGGTTGGAAACCACATCATCATTTTTAGCAGAAAATAACCCATTGATTTCAAGGTCCAACTCTGTTTCTGTCAATGCCGGGTCACCAATAAATGTAACATTCAAAGCAGCAATATCAGTTATTGGCACTTCTTTAGGAAGAGATTCCAATAAGGATGCAAGATTTACAATTCCATCTTTTATTTTTTTAGACATAGCATCTTCAACAGCAGAACTAATTTTACCCTCAAAAGCACGAACCACCCTGAAAAATTGAAAAGGGAAATTAATCCAAAATGTTTTCATATACAAACTTCCATTAGAGTTAGAGAAGAAATAATAATATAGAAAAACTATTATGGAGACAGAATGGAAAGTGACAGTTAAAAGTTTTAACTGATAAGTTTAGTTGCACAACAGTTTTAATGTACAATTCTTTAAGATCTATTTAGACAGGTGAACATCAATATATATATAGTTTATCTAGCTAAGTAGCTGTCCTCTAACAGAAAGTTCTTCTTGGGAAGAATGTATTAAATATGTCCTGATATTTTTCCTAAAGGAGTTTCAGAATGTTGAAAATAAAATCCCTTAGGTTATAAGGGGGTATAATCGTGAAGTTGTGCTACAGTATGATTAAATGTGTGATATGACACCTGATGCATGATAAAATCATGCCTAAATTGGGATAACACGTGCAGAAGAAATACAATTATCCTGCAATCATTATGCATGTACCCATTTAGGACACAATTACTTCACCATTATAAAGGGGAAAAAACTGTTGAATATATTACAATCAACAGGTAAGAATTACCGAATGTCCATAAAGCAGATTTCTAGGGTAAGAGAGAGATGCAACTTCACATTTATTCTGGTTTAAAATATGAGATCACATTATTAGGCTATCAAGTAAGGTTTTATATCAGGTAGAGATGTGAAAATTTGGATATATAATTTCTGAAAGAGAAAAAAAACCACATAAAAACAATACCCTTGGTATAGCCATGATGCTCCTCCATCCAAATCTATAGAGATAGCTTTGACATAACATCCACATTCCAAAACAGACAGCTTAAGAGATCCTTGTAGAGTCTTCAGGCTAAGGGTCAGCCCAATTTCCATAACTTCAACCTTGTACCAAGCAAAATCAGCAACTTAGTGTCGGTGAGGAGATAAACTGAAGATGAATACACAATTTTAAAAGAGAATAACATAATTATTAAAACCATTATCATGAAATATGGGGTTTTGGGTCCAGGATCCAATAGATCCATTACTACCCCCAAACACGCATAACTCACTGCTCCGATTAAGAGAGATATTAAAAGTTTTTGAAACTAAGAGTGATATTAAAAGTTTTTGAAACAAGGCCATAATTCAAGCATGTAGCTTCTACATAGTCATCTTCAAGGAGTCTTGAGAATCTCTAGTCCGTTAAAGAAAATTCTTGACAAATTATACCACCATTCCTATCCCTTTGCCCCATGAACATGTTGCTATCACACAAATGTAGATGCATCCATCACCATCATAGAATAATTAAAAAATTGTAACGAGTACATTGACCATGAAAACAATTGCACTTCTAATCAAGCTGATCCTGCATTTTGTATATGCTTATTTTTCCCTTTTCCTATATTTTTCTTCTTCCTTTATTATTATTATTATTTATTTATTTATATTTCATTTTTAGCATGCCTTGTTCTTAGTAGTCTTTTACAACTATATCCTTCATACCAAATGAGGTAGTGTTGGTTAGATGGAACTTTTCACGCAGAATCACATGGAATGTGAAGGCTTCTAATAGACTACGAAACGCACTGACTTGAGATTCTACACGACAAATTAAACCCCGCAAGAATATATACATTCAAATAATCAAATAGCATCCGATTAATGAGACTTGGTAATAGCATACCTCAACTGTGGCACTTCCTTCATCCGAAATAGTAATGGGAAGTAACCAAGTGCTGTATGAGTACTTCCAATTCATACTCAAATTCGCAGAGCCGCCATAAACAGATATAACAATTCCAGTATCTCCAGTTTTCACAGTAGAGTTAATTACATGGACTCTTTGAATGGTAATATTCGAAAGAACAATCTTGACTTTACCTACAACTGGGATTTTCACAGACTTTTCAATCTCGGGCAGCTCGAGTGGAACGAATGAAGACTCTGCTTCTTCTATTAACATGTCCTTGAGAAAATCGAGACCCTTGTTGGATATATCTACCTTGATGTGCCCTTCTTCATCAGATTGAACAAGGGCATGGAAAAAAATTAACAAAAACAGTAAGCGAAGAAAGATATTTCCATAAGCCATGAAAAATATGAGGACAGAAGAACAACCCCAGATACAAATTGGATAATTAGATTGAAGTAGTAAAATATGATATTAATTGAGACAGAAACTGGGAATCGGGATGGATAATTAATTCTTGGATTTTCTTGTAAAAATGAAAGCAAACGTGAGGGAAATGATTAATTGAATCATTCGCCGTTGGCAGGATCATCACCGTGGGGGATATGGGGAACTTCCAAATTGGCCTAGTCAAAACGCCAATTTACAAAAAGCTTGCCTTACTATTCTCGAATGAAAACGATCTCTGTTAATGTAAAAAGAAGTGAAATATGCTATTTGTACATAATATAATTACGATATTCACCCTCGAGATGGAGGGAATTCATTTTGAATATATTATATTTTATTCAAAATGAGTTCCCCTCCGTATGAGGAGAATGTACATTGTTATGAATGAAAATTCAAGGATAGCTAATGAAGATCGAATTTGTTATATAAACTTTTTCGAAAATTAATTTTAAATTTAAATCAATACAAAAGTAAATAAATCAATTAATTAAATAGCCACAAACACTATAACAAGCAAAGAACAATATAAGGATTTGAGTAATAAACAAATATAAAAACTATAAGTAAAAGGGAATAGAAGCCAAACGATATGTTGTGGAGGTTCGATCCAATGCAATGATCTATGTCTCCAGTTACCAAGCTCTTCAACACGAGCAAGGTCTTTTTTACTATATTGATTGACTTATAGTACAATCCAACATTGTACAAAGTTTTTGGTGACTTACAAATAAGGAGCATTGATCCTTTACAACGTTGAGATTTTCGAAACCTCAACAGGACCCGCATTATTGAGCTTTATGGGACCTCAATATGACCCACACGGTGACTTATAATAAGGAGCACCAATCTTTACACAATATTGAGTTTTTCGAGACTTCAACACGACTCACACTTTATCAAAGTGATTTTACAATCAAATCATCTCTTGATAAATAATACAAAACAAATTAAGTACTAAGAGAGGCTAACACTTCAATGAATAGTAACAAATGATAGCTCAAGTGTTAGATGAAAAACTTTGATAAAAAAAATTAAATTCAAACAATTAAAGTATTTTAATGAGAAGATGAAAAAGAATTAAATGCAATATAAATTTAAATAATCTTCTCAAGAAATGTCTCTCTTTTAATGATTGATTATGATAAATTAAGTACTAAGAGAGAAATAATAAATTTTGATGAATATGATAATTTTACAAATTTGATTCAATCAATCAAAGTTTTCAATATGAAGAAATTGAAAAATTTATGCAATATAAGTGCAAAGAACATTTTAAGAATATATTTCTCTTTGAAAATTGATATAAATAAACTCAGCACAAAACGATATGAAAAAACTTTGATGAAGGAAATTATTCAAGGAATTTGATTCAACAATCAAAGTTTTTCAATATGAAGAAGTAGAACAATTTATGCAATGTAAGTGCAAATACCTTTTTCAAGAATATACCACTCTTTTAAGAGTGATATAAATAAGTTAAACACAAAGAAGGGTGGAAAACTTTGATGAGAATGTTAATGAGTTTAAATCAATCAAAGTTTTTGATATGAAAAAACAAATGAAATTAATGCAAATGAAGGCTCAAAGAATTCTTAAAACAAAAATAT